GGTTTTGCAAGCTTGTGTTGAGATTTTAAATTCCTCTATATCTCTTTGACTCTGCTTCATGTGATCTATTTCTTTCCTCTATTGCTCATTCAAGGAATCTATCATTTTTCTAATCTATTCTATTTTTTTTATCAATGTCTCCTTTAGAAGCAGTTATATATTCTTTTACTGCAGTGTTTTGTTTTGTTTTTTTTTTTTTTCAGATTGGGTTTCCTTCCTATGTTTCTGTAGTTGATTCTTTACCACAGATGCTATGAGTTCTGAGAGTTCTTTTTTATTTCAGAAAAGAATACTGCTCTGAGTTCCTCTATGACTTTGTACTGTTGCTTATTTATTATCGACGCTATTAATTAGTTCATTTAAGCTGAGCTAGTAGGAAAGAAATCCCCTCTGAGGGGGCTGCCCCTTAGTTCTGTTCTTTAAGTGGTGGCTTCAACAAAGCAGTCAGGCTCAGGTTGCTGTTGTTCGATCCCCACTACTCAAGCCAGCCAATTCTGCCCTGAAGGCATTCGGAGCAAAAACAAACAAATAAAAAAAAATAAAGAATTCCTCTCTGAGTTCCTCTATGACTTTCTGCTGTTGCTTATTTACTATCAATGCTATTAATACATATATTTGAGCTGAACTAGTGTTCTCTGCACTTCTTCTGGGTGGGCATTGGGTTACCTCACTATGGTTCTGCATTTGATTCTTTACTGTAGATGTTATTAATTCAGGGATTTCTTTTTTCATTTCCAATCTGAGTTCCTCTATATTTAAATTAGTTTCCCTCAGTTCCATTGGATAACCACCCCTTGCTGTACTTGGAGTCCTGCAGGCAGGTTAGTTCACTCAGTAAACTGTTGCCTCCTCGAGAGAGAGAGAGAGAGAGAGAGAGAGAGAGAGAGAGAGAGAGAATGCTCTTGTAAATCTGTTTCTAGCAGTGTGAGTCACTTTAACATGTCCAGATATGCCAACTTTGAGTTCATCCAGCTTAGCCTGGTTTGTGTATGACTGCTGTGCTCAGCCTCTTCCTGCTGTGGCCTGTGGAAGTAAACCCACTTTGTACCACTCTCAAGATGTTCTGCTCAGGGATTGGCTCCCTGGGTCTGTACCTTAGCCTTTCTTCAGGGAGTTCTGTCACAGGGTCCCACACTCTGGCTGACAGTCTCACACATCAGGCCTGCGTGCTAGAGGAGGCCACAGGGCCCATTCCCACAGACTGGGCCTGACTGCTTCAGGAGGGCTTTCTGCTGGCCAGTGCTACACACTGGGCCTGTCCTATCAACCCTGTTTTTCTAGTGACTCAGAAGCTTGTTTCTGACTTCTTTGTAGTGATGCCCCCCCCCAATGTTCATGTGCATGAACTATAGACCTAGTGATTGTTTTCAGTCAATAATTCAAAACAATACTAACTCAGGTAGACTGAAAATATCACGCCTAAACCTTCCCAGACGTTCTCCTATAGTTTGCTCATCATACTGTTTATTACCAGTCAATGAAAGCAGGCTCTGCTTTTCTCAACAGGCAAAATTCAGGAATTGTTGGACAAGAATTGCATTGATGGGGCATGCAGAATGGTTCTCATTAATGCTGTTTACTTCAAAGGCAGTTGGAAAGAACAGTTTCCTAAGTCAGACACGGAGGAAATGCCTTTCAAAATAAACCAGGTATGCAGAAGTTTAAATAAAAGGCTTTGACAAAGTAATACAAGAATATTTACCTTTAAAGGTGGCTTAAGGGATTGAACTCACGCCCTTGTGCTTGCCAGGGAAGTGCTTATTCCACTGAGCCATCTCCCTGGCCCACTGAATTGATTTTTAAACTCAGGACAACAGCGTTATAGAAGTAAGGAACAGTTGTTGCTTATAATTTGTATGCATGAATCACTGTTCTGGCCATGGAGATAGTTCAGTGGAATAAGTTCTTCCCTGGCAAATGTGAAGTCCTGAGTTTGATCCCTGGTACCAAAACAAAACAAAACAAAACAAAACAAAA